TTATACAGATTTGAATATCACCAAAAATGTTCAGATCTAAAGAATATTTCCATAATTTGTCCTTTCTGATTATAACCATGTGTTTTATAATTTATATCTATCTCCCAAAATAAGGAAAAAATTGGCTTGTAATCAATCATTTGATTAATTCTTTCTTTCTCTAATTTTTGCTTCCCAATTAATCAAATTTAACAGATATAATTTGAAAACTTTCGTTCATGTGGTCTTAAGATTTAGCATTTCAATATATATTTTGAGAACTTATAATTATATTTAAAAATATATGTATTTCATAAAAAATTATAATATTTTATAAAATATGTTATATTGAGGTGTTTTCTCCCCAAAAATATTTGTTTTATTCTTTTTTTTTTTGTTCTTTAGCTCATCATAATTTTTTCATTTTGTTTCTTCTGTTTTAGGAAATTGGCAAAGATGTTTATTTTTGAAAAATTTTTTAAAAATTTTTTCTTTTTCTTTGTTTTCCCTCTTACATTTCTTTCTCTCTTTTTTTTTCCTCATAGAAAATTCTACTGATTTTTAATATTTTATTTTTCCAATTGTTTTTCCGTATTTTTCTTTTCGAAAAACAAGGAAAGGTAAAATTAATGAAAATTTTCAACTCAATATCTTTTTGTTCTTTGCAAAATTTTTTTAAAATTTCTAAGTTTTTCTTTAAATCTCTCCCGTGTCTTTTAGTTTGTTTGAATAATGTTTTTATGAAATCAATTTATTTATAAAAATAACTGATTTTATATATAATCCGATATATTTTGGTTTATATTTTATTGAAAAACAATTTTAATAACCAATGTTTTAACCCAGAATAATTGCAAAGGAACACATTGGTTTTTCTTACATATCTCAAAAAATAACAGATCAATTTCAACGAAACTTATAGGAAATATTTAAACGAACATTGTCGATCAAAACATAGAAGGAAAATTTAAAACCACTGTTTTGAGAAACATTTATTAACAATAAATAAAATAACCCATATGCAAAATATTTAACACACTTTACTAATATTTAGTACAGTAGCCTCTGTTCTGCTTCACAGCCTCCTAGTCGTTTCCATAGTCTTCAACTAGTTTCTTGCAGGTAATTGTTGGTATTTTTGACCCATTATTCTTCAAAAATTTTATTCAATTTGTTTAAATTCGATGGATTTCTTTTATGAACTCGTAATTCTTCAATAGTTTTTTGCTTTTCGATTGGATTTAAATCCGGTGACTGGCTTGGCCATTCCAGGACATTAATGTCATTATTATTAAACCAATTCTTAATTGTTTTAGCAGTATGTCTCATCTCATTGTCTTGTTGAAATACAAAAATCATGACCATGTCCCAAAAGATGTGGCACTGTTCAAGAGTTGAGTTGACAAAATTTGAGTTTATTTTAAAGCATTCATTGTTCCTTCGATGATTTGATTTTCATTTTTTTTGTATTCCATTTGAGGAAAAAAACAACCCCACATCATAATATTTCCATTTCCATGTTTGACAAAGGGATGAATCATTTTGTATTTGCTGGTTGTATTCCGCTCCTTTTTCCTCCATAAATGAGTGCTCATGTTTTCATCCGTAAATCTCAATTTTTCTTTGTTGACCAAATTCTACTTTGTCCCAGAAATCATTAGATTCAATTTCATATTTCTTTACAAAATTCAAACGGGCTTGTACATTTCGGCGTTTCAGTAATGGAGTTCTTTCTCGGTGATCTTGAAGGTTCATGTCCTGCACGAAATGGTGATCTTTTATATTGTATCTTTAGATGCTTCAATTCCGGCATTTTTGATGTGGGGTTCTGAATTTCTCGACGAATTGAAAATGAATTTTTATTCAACAGTACTGGAAATGTATCGCTCAAATTAGCCTCATTTAAGATCCGGGGACGAATCCTTTGAATGTTTTTACGTAGTATTTCATTTTTTTTATTTTTTGAACAACAACACCAACTGTACTCGCAAAGTCAAATTCAAATTTTCGATTTTTCCATATCCCTTTACCATCTTTGTGATTCTTTATGATCTTCTTTGATGTCGTTCGACAATTCTTTTTTTTTTCACCATTTTCTTGAAACAGGGCAACAGAATAGCTGCAGTGTCTCAGAGCTGTTATCTAATAGCCAGTTGAGTGTCGTGCAGTGCTGTCATTGGTCGACATATCACATCATATCAATATGGGTAGGAATCATGACGAATGTCTTTCTAGCATAATATTTGCATTGGTGTTAAATACTTTTTGCATATGGGTTATTTTATTTATTGTTAATAAATGTTTCTCAAAACAGTGGTTTTAAATTTTCCTTCTATGTTTTGATCGACAATGTTCGTTTAAATATTTCTTATAAGTTGAAATTGATCTGTTATTTTTTGAGATATGTAAGAAAAACCAATGTCGTTAAATATTTTTGCTACCCACGATATATATATATATATATATATATATATATATCCGTATAAAAGACAAAAATCAATACAAGAATAGATATAATTTTTTCAATAAAAGATCAATGTATATATAATTTAAAAGAAAATTATATTGACGAACCTAATTTTTCGAATTCTGAAAATAGGCGAGTAATATTGTTTTCGGCAATATGCAAATGAAGATGGGCTGATAATAAACTTAACTTTCTCAGAAGAAAATGTCCAAGGCAAAGAAAAATGAATTTTGTGTTTTTTTTTTTTAATAATTTCACCCAGAAGCAAAAATTCTTCCCCTAAAACTCCACGATTTTTTTAAGTTAAAATTTAATGAGAAACCCATTAATGAGAAGAAATGCAAATGAAAAACGGGTTTCAGAAAAACAGAAAAAATCAAAAATGTGTTGAATTTAGAATTTTTTAAAAGGTTGTCAGAGAGTCAAGAAACTGGAAGAGATAATTCTTTTTCGAGAAGAGGGAAGTTTTCACTCTTTTTGTATTGATTTCTATCGCTTACATCTAGCTATTTCTGCATTTTTGTGTGATTGAGTAATGTTTTTAAATTTTTACTTGTACGCTTAAATTCGTGAGGTCGGTGTACCAAAAAGGATATTCATTAGAACACTTATCATCAAAATATAGAATATATTTATATTAATTTCGATGGGATATTAAGTGTCCTTAAGATGCCAGGTCACGACCGATATTTATTACAATTTACTCATTTTTGGTTGTTTTGTTTTTTTAATTTTCGAGATATATTATCCTATTCATTTTTTATTCTATAGTTACAATATTCAATGGTCGATTTATCTCAAAAACCAGACATGTTTTTTTAATTTTTTACTAACATTACTTAGGACATTGAACTAGCCCAATAAATAGCAAAAAAGATTCAAAAAATCAGTAAAATATTTTAGAGCAAACAAATATATGGTAGCATTATTCAATGCCCGGACGAATAGAAAATTTATAATTATTCAAATAAAAATAAAATACATAAAACAAGTAACCTTAAAATGAAGCATACAATAAATAAAGCTAAAATAGTTTATTTAAATTTTCAGTTTTTAAAAATAATAAATTTGTCCGATATGCCTGTTCTGGCAGAAATCTAACTAAATTATTGTAATTTAACGGTCGCACGTGGAATGGGCCCAATCATTGCCCTTGTAGAAGACATTAGATACGTACCCTCAAATAAAATCCCTATATGAATTCGGAAAAATGTTATAACTTTCCTTTATAACGATAAAAAACTTTAATGCCGACCTGTGTATTGCATCCTGCGTGACAGACTGCCTTTTACCCGAGCCTTAAAACCGCCAGAGATTAAAGCATACAAAATTAAAATGAAAAAAAAAAAACAATCGGAAATAAATAAGCAACCTAGGGGAATCTAAAATAACCGCCAGAATAGATTACCTTAAATTACAGACTGACCTGATATATAAACAGTCGAGGAAAATCCAACATTTCCGCAAACGCATTTGTTTGTAAAACATTCTGTAACCTTTTTTCTTTTTAATATTTTTTTCCTTGAAGTAAATTAATTTTACTTTATATTTGTTGTGTTTTATATTTCTTCAAAAGCTATCCTTCCAGTTTACCTGTACGCAATTAGCTTTAGTTCTGAACCCGTCCGACATTTTTTTATCCGAAATAACTTTCGGGGACAAAAATTTTTAATTTGTCTTACGTAATAATAACTCTGACAGAAGAGTGAGTGCAATTAATTAAGATTGAACTCACATGTATGGCTTGTAAGATATTAAATAATTTACAAATAATGGATGCTTCTTAACATGCCACTAATGTTCTTCTGTCCCAGTCAATGCCATCAGATTTTAATCAAAATACTGAATTATTTTTTAGTTCTCAGTAAAAAATACTGGAAAAAAAAAAAATTACTGAATAATAATAAAGCCATTTCCCTTTTCAGTATGTGGTGACTATAAGAAGATCAATAATAATATATTTGTATGGTCATAATACACATATATATATTTAGATTTATTATTTTTTTATTCTAAATTATTTTATTTCTTATTGTTTTACATTGACTGGTTATTTTTGTGATTTTATGCATATCTTTTTTTTTTTTTTTTTTTTTTTTTTTAAAAAAAAAGAATGTTGAAAGAAGATTTTCGAACCTCTTTGACAAAAATGATGAATTTGCATAAAAAAAATATTAAAATTTTAATTTTTTCTTCAATAATTGTCTTAATTTTTCTTTTCTTCTTTTAAAATTGATCCTTTCCTTTACAAGAAAAAGAAACAGTTGTCTCTGTTTCTCTCGTTCTTTGGAAAAGCTTACGTTCTGATTCTCTTTCTCCCCCACTCTTTTTTTAATTTTTGCCTGCAAAGGTTCGATCAGAAATTTTTGAACCTTTCTCTTCCATTTAAATTCAAAGATTATTCCTTTCGGTTTTCCCTCCATTATTCACATCCGAACGTGAACTAACGAGACTTTTTGAATTATCAGTTACGGAGCTAAAGATGGCGTAAAAAAGCGACCTCTAAAACCGGTGAGATGAATGAACGGAAATGTCGACAACATTGTAATATAACTCAAATCCCTGTAAAGAAAAAAAAAAAACAAAATTCTACGGAAGTTTGGGGGCTGTGTCGAGAGCTGGAAATAAGAAAGAGGCGGCTGAAGGAGATGGAAAAAGATGAACTAGTTAAGACAGAGAAAGGCAAAGAGAGGATGAAAGACAGAAACAAATGAATAGAATAAAGAAGAAGAGAAAGATAAATATAAAAGGAAATAAAATTGAAAAGTAGAAAGAAAAAGAAAAGAAAGAAAAGAAATAGATAGAAGATAGATAGATAGATAGATAGATAGATAGAAAGAAGATAGATAGAAAGATAGAAAGAAAAAGAAAGAAAGAAAGAAAGGTATAAAGAAAAGGAGCAAAAAACGTTGTGGAAGAAGAAAAGGGAAAAGAAAAAAAAAGAAAGAAAGAAAAGAAAGAAAAGAAAGAAAAATAT